AAAATAAATAAATAAAATAAAATAAATTGTGGAATATGTAATTAAAAGCCCCAAATTGAAATAAATCACCAAAACATAAAAGATATGAAAAGTAAATATCCTGTAAAGGCGAAACGGGAAATGTTCTTCGCAGGTGAAATGCCGTCGGTGAAACATGAAATGCAAATGTGAATAAATGTAACACTGTGAATAAAGCTAGGAAATGCAAATCCATTCGTGTTTCGAAATGTGGAATAAATAAAAAATATTCTATAATAATACGAGAAAGTCCATACAAAAAATTGATGAATTTCATTGAAAGTAACTTTGAAAAATTAATCGTAGTATTTAGGAAATTCAAATTACAATATTTAATTCTTACAGATAAACGTTGATAAAACAGACATTTATTTGTAAACGACGTGAAAAAGACAATATTAAGGAAGGAGAAAAGCAGATACATATTTTTACAGTTAACATTAGCTACGACAACTCAAATAAAAAAACAATCTAAAACTGCAAACTACAAGTGGATTCCGATTAAAAACTAAAAAGTATTTAAGAAAAGATCTTCATACAGAGAAAACAAATCGTGAGAAATCTTTAAAAATCGTATTACATCCATTAAATAAATATTCCCAAAATAATAATTCAAGATACGACCTGTAAAGATACGAATGAAAAGTAAACATAAGTACATATACATACATGAGAGTACAGGCAGCATATGTATTTATTATTCATTTAGACTATTTAAAAACGGTGATGTTTCCAGTTGGGTTATATATTCAGTCCAGTATTAATCTTATGCAAATGGAATCTTCATAGTTCTGTGAAATGAATGGCAAGATATCCTGCTCGAGAGGTAAACAACCTTTAATCCATTCAAAATATTTTGAGTTTTTAAGTGACATCAATCTGATTTTTCGTATATGTGCGTACTATTTACAGACATGTCAGCTTTGTTTACATGTGTGCTTGGTATCTGAGCATTAACAGAAAACTCATCAAAACCCCATCCCAAACCCAACAGCGCAACAGCAAGAGCGACGGCAACTTAACAAAGCTAAACTTTTAACGATGCGTTTAACAGGAATGCTGGCGTCGCAGCCGGCAGAAGCAGTGACTGAGGCTAACGCTTAGGTTTAGGCAGCGAGAGCAGGTGAAGTGCCAGCACAGACGCCGATGCCTAAGCTGTTGTCGCTGTCGCTATTACTGTCGGCGTCGTCAATCCAAGTTCTTTAGCCACAGATAGAGGAAAATAAAGTACTAAAATTCAAAACTCCCAAAAATACTATAAAAACCAAAATTGAATCAAGTGCAATCAGCATTGACAACCACAGCGGTTGCATACAAAATAGAAAGATAGCGAAGCAAATGAAAAAAAAATGTATAGATAAAAATAACATAGCACAAGCTGTAACAAGTAAGAAGGCTCCAGTCGAGACTGCTCGACTAGGAGATACCCTGAACCCTCCAAGCTGATATTCTAATCAGTCTGGACTTCTTTTATGCACACATACATACACATGCACTTATAAGCACGTGCTCTGCTGACTGCGCAGTTAGCAGCGACTGCGCTTGGGCTGCGCTGCAATGTGGGCAATAATATGAGAATTTATTTGTTGAATAATTTCTTTTGTAGACATACGATCTTAATGAAACTTTCAGAGCGTAATCATATGGTTAAAATATGTGTACATTCCAAAGCACAAGTCTCTAGTACTTATATCTTCTGAGATTCTTTTGCTCATACGGACGGACGGACGGACGGACGGACGGACGGACAGACGGACAGGGCTATATCGACTCAGCTCGTCGTGCTGATCAAGAATATATATACTTTATGGGGTCTGCGATGATTCCTTCTGCCTGTTACATACTTTTCACAAAACCATTATACCCTGATTTCCCATTTTCAATGGGTTCAGGGTATAAAAAGAAGGCAGCGCAAGTGCATATGTAATGTGATTGCATGTGTATGAGTGTGAGTGTGTGAAAAAGCCTCACGCTCAACGCTTTTTATTAATTCTGTTAAATATGCACACATAAAAAGTATTAAAAAAAGAAACAAGAATTTCAAACAAACATCAAACGCGGGCTTAGGGGGGTCACAACACAGCAACAGCAACGACGCTGCCTACGTGCAGTCCACTTCCCATTTCGTTTCCCCTTGCAGCAGCATAAAACGGCACTTGGATTGTTTGCCTGCGCCTCTGCTACCTGAAACTGAAATTTTCCCGCATTAGAATGCTCGCGTTCCAACTTCTTGTTGTTGCTGTTGTTGGTTCGTTATGTTGCACGCGGTCAACGTCGACTGACAACCAGCGGGACAAGCGAATACACAGAGAGAAGTAAAGAAACAACAAAAACACGCTGGCAAAAGGGCATGGAATGGGAATTGAATTTATTTTTCTTCCTTTTCGGCTGCTGCTTCTTGCGCTATACGCTGTCTGTGCCTGCCTTTGCCTCTGCTTCTGCCTCTGTGTATGTGTGCGTGTGGTATTATATTTTTTGTTTACCTTATGCTTTCGTTTATCGACCCGTTTTTGGTTTTGTGTGTTTTTGTGTGCTACATATGCGTTTCTTTCGCTCTTTCGGTCTTTTATTCGTTCGTTTGTTCGCTCGTTCGTTCGTTAACTCGCGTGCGCTGTTCTCATCAGCTGAAGCAGAGGCGGAAAGAAGGCAGCAGCAGCAACATAATCGCAGCATGCATGCCTGTGTATCTTATCTCTCTCTCTTTCGCCTCTCGCTGGCTGTCGTTTCTTAAAAAATGATCTAACGTTAAAAGGCACACAGAGGACTTTTGTTAGATTCTTTATGAATAATAACATATATATAAATGCTTAGTTAATGTATAAGAGTTCTGTTAATATATATAGGATCCGTGTTAACATTTCGTTTAAATTCCGCATTTCGAATGTAAGCGCCATAAGCTGACCATCAGGCCGTAGCAATCAGCTTTTGCTAGCTCACTCTGCCTGTCATTTTCGATTGTTTGGGAAATTACACAGCTGATGCGTTTGTTATTGTGAACGAGCGTAACAGCGTGCTAGTGATGCGCGCAATGTAAGCTAACAGCCAATGATAATAATAAAAAAAAAGCTGCATGGAAAAAACACTCAAGCGAATTGTTATTGTGCTTATTATGTTTGTGCTGGTGAAGAAAAATGCAGCTAAGATGAATTAAAGTACTCACGAAATGCGTTCCACGTAAAACTCACTTGCTGCACCTGTGGGGCAGCAGCAGCAAACGCGCGTCTCGCTGCTGCAAAGGTGTGGCTGAAATTAACTTAACATTAATTTTGCATTATTGTGTTTGCCTTTTTTAACTGTTATCCGATGCAATCGCATTGCATATGCATTTGGCTCTGCTTCTGCTTTTGCTTCTCTTTTTCATTGCAGCGGCGTTGCCACCTCCCTCAGCGCCGACTCCAGCACAGGATCCAGTGAGGATGCATCCGAGCCTGGCTCCCCGTACAGTGCGCACTCGCTACTGAGCGACGAGCAGCAGCTACACAAAATGCCGCCACAAATACTCAGCGCTGCGCCCAGCAGCAACAGCAGCAGCAACAGCAACTCCAGCAGCAACAGCAACTCCAGCAGCAGCCCTGCACCAACAGCCGCTGCAGCAGCAACAATCACAGCGAATGCAACCAGAAGCAACAGCAACACTGCCAAAATCACAACAGCGACAAGTGCGACTCCAACTGCAACTGCAACAGCAATCACCCAACGCAACGGCAACACGACGCTGCCCACGCTGCAATGGCCTTGGAACACGAGCCTCGGCAGCACTTCCACGGCGGTTCCGGCTGCGGCAGCCTCCAAGAAGCGCGCCGCGGTCAGCAGCAACAGCCACAACAGCAGCAGCAACGAGGCCACTGGCTTGAAGAAGTCACGCGTAGATCCTCAGGGCAACAGCAGCAGCAGCAGCGAGAAAAGACTGAAGGCAGCTGCCTTGGAGGAGTCGCAGACGAAGATCACGGGCTTCTTCAAGTCACAGATGAAGGCGACGTCGGGCAAGTTGTCAGCGACGCCCTCGCCGCCCCCAGCAACGGCGGCAACAACAGCAGCAGCTGCCACACCCAATACGCTGACAATGAGCACGCCAGCAACAACAGCCTCGCTCAACAAATACTTTAACATACTCTCGCAGCTGAATGAGCAGAAGCAGCAGCAGCAGCAGCAGCAGCAGCAGCAACAGCAGCAGCAACAGCAACAGCAGCAGCAGCAACAGCAGCAGCAACAGCAGCAGCAACAGCAACAGCAGCCACAACAGCAGCCGCAGCAACAGCTGCAGCCCAAGCTAACGACAACAGTTGCTGCTGCTGTGGGCACTGCTGCCGTGTTGCCGGTGCCGGCGCTCAAGAAGATCGAGCGCAGCAGCAAGCAGCCCGCCAAGATTGCTCAGGTGGCGCCCAATCTGCGCAAGACGCCGAGCAGCAACAGCCACGCGCACAGCCACAGCCACGCCCACAACGCACACGCCGGAAATGCCCACGCGGTCACCGGCAAATCGCCCGCCAAGAAGCACGTGGCCATAGCGCCGCGCACGCCGGAGATGAAGCAGCAGCAACAGTTGCAGTCGCAGACGTCAAAGACATTGGTCCCAGCAGCAGGATACCGCGCACCCCACAGCAACAATAGCAGCAGCAACGGCAGCACCAACAACCCATCAGCAACAGTTGCTGCCAAGCCCTGCCAGAAGCTGCAACTGGCTGCTGCTGCAGCTGCCACGCCCACTCCTAACCCGACGCTCTACCAGCTGCCGGTGCAGCTGCCGAACCTGGTGCATCTGCCGCCGCAGCTGGCGGCCGCCGCCAACATCATGCAGCTGAACAACGTGGCCAAGGCAGCAGTTGCCGCCGCCGCCAGCAACAATGCAGCAGCAGCAGCCGCCTCGGCGCAGGCGGCGCAGGCAGCGCAGTATTTCCTCAACGGGACCGTCTTCAAGCTGCAGCAGGTGACGACGGCGACGACGACGACGGCGACAACGGCGACGGCAGCAGCAGCCAGCGCGAATCCCTTCGGGCTGAACGAGCTGCAGGAGCTATTGCTGAAGCAGCAGCAGCAGCAACAGCAACAGTTGCAGCTGCAGCAGGCGGCGGCTGTCAAGGCGGCTGCTGCAGCGGTGGCTGCCACGCCCACAGCTGCCAATGGGGCTGCCAATTTGCAGGAGCTGTTCCAGCAGCAGATTGCAGCAGCAATCGCCGCACAGCAGCAGCAGCAGCAACAACAACAGCAGCAGCAACACCATCAACAACAGCAGCAGCAACACTTTCAGCGCCTGGGAGCCGCAGCAGCAGCGCAGCCCGTTTTCATGGCGACGCCAGCGGGTCTCCTGCTGAATGCTGCCACGCTGCCTGCAATGCTGGCCCAGGCTGCAGCCGCAATTGCAGCCAACAACCAGCAGCAACAACAGCAGCAGCAGAAAGTAGCTGCTGCAGTCGCACTGCAACAACAGCAGCAACAACCGCAGCAACACCCTCATCATGCGCTGCCTGCGCTGCAGCCCATTCCCGCCCTGAGTTCCATATTTGAGCCAGCCAGCGAGCAGCAGCAGCAGTTGCAGCTGCAGCAACAGCAGCAGCAGCTGGCCCAGCTGTTGCTCTCTCATCAGCAGCAACAGCAGCAGCAGCAGCAGCATCAACAACAGCAGCAACAGCAACAACTAATCACTGCCACACAGCCGCCTCCATTGACTGCTGCCAACAGCAGCAGCAGCAGCAGCAACAGCACCAGCAGCAACAGTAACACTGCCAGCAGCAATGCCTCGAATACTGTAAGCAACACTGCCCAGCAACCACAGCAACAGCAACAGCAGCAACAACGTGCCATCAGCAAGGGTCCGCCTCCTTTGGTGACCATCTCGAACGCCTCCCCCGCCAAGTCGCGCTCCCTGCCCGCGGCCCTGGCGAAGCCCTATCAGAAGCGCGCACAGCAGCAACAGTTGCCGCTCCAGCAACAGCAGCAGCAGCAACAGCTGCCACTTAGCAAAGCCAAGTACACAGCCATTGCCACGCCCACCACGCCACCGCCTCTAGTGCCAACCAGCGCTGGCGCTGTTGCTGCTGCTGCCGCCAAGGARCTGCAGCAATTGCGCAAATGTGCCACGCCCACAACTACGCCCACGCCGCCACTGGTGAGCATTGCGCCCGCCAAGCTGACGCCGACGCTCAGCATAGCCAAGCAACAGCCGCAGCAGCAACAACAGCAGCAACAGCAACAGTTGCCGCCAGCAACAGCGACAATTGCCAAGATCTCGAGCAGTGCTGATCTCTTTGACCTGGTCAAGAACTCCAATGGCGCCATTAGCATTGTGGGCAAGAGTGCCACGCCCACACCTGCCCCCAGCACACTAACGCCGCTGCCCTTCAGTTCGCCCAGCAGCAACAGCAACAGCAACAACAGCAACTCGCAGCAATCGGCACGCGCCTCGCCTGCCCTCTCCGCCCACTCGTCGAGCACTCTGTCGGCCTTCGGCAAGTCGCTGGTGTCCATCAAGGCGGAGCCCATGGAGGAGTCGGCCACGCCCCCGCTGTCGAGCACGCCCAAGCCGCAGAGCTTCGCCGGGCAGCTGCAGCTGGCGAGCGGGCGGCGCGCTGAGCCCTCGAAGCACGAGCTGCTGGCCGCCGAGTGCAACTCGAACTGCAGCAGCAGCTACACCGGCAGCAACTCGGTGAGCAGCGCGGCGGATCTCTCGCTGGAGGCCTCCACGCCGGCGTCGCTCAGCTCGGCGCCCTCGCCGGCCGCCAGCAACAGCAGCAGCAGCAGCAGCAGCCAGACGCAGCAGATGTGCTCGCCCGAGGGCAACGCCAGCCAGCAGGACATGCTGAGCGAGCTGGTCACCTCCTCCTGCAACTCCAGTGGCACGGAGGACTGCTCGCAGGCCGCGACGCCAGCAATGGCTGCGACAACAGCAGCTGCAGCTGCAGCTGCAGCAGCAGCAGCAGGAGTCACTGCTGTCAGCAGCAGCAGCAGCAGCAACTACGACGAGGAGGACGACAAGTCGGTGGCCTCCTCGGAGACGGCCACGCACAAGCGGCTCACGCCCGAGTCCGGAATAGGCGGCAGCCTCAGCAACAGCGAAAGCAGCAACTCCATTGCGGATGCCATGTAAGCGATCTACATTCACTCTGTCTCTTGCTCTCACTCACTCACTCCCTCACTCCCTGCAGCTCTTCAAAGTCCGTCTGTCCGCCGACGTCGGCCAGCAGCAACAGCTGCAACGCCTCCGACAGCAACTCGCTGGCCAGCAATGCGCCGTCCCCCGCCTCGCCCGGCAGCAACAGCAACAGCATCGACGACTGCTCCACGGCCTCGCCCATGGTGGATACCACGCTGGCGGAGAACGCCAGCAAAGTGTTGCCCAAGTGCGCCATATCGCCGATTCTGTCGCAGCCCAAGACGATCCGCTTTCCGGCCGGCGCAGGAGCAGGCGGCAAGGGGGCGAAGCGGCATGACGGCGTCTGCTATTGGGACAAGTGCAACAAGAAGCACGAGAGCAACTCGAAGCTCCTGGACCACATGCAGACGCATCATGTCAACACGCAGACGGGTCCCTTCGCCTGCCTCTGGGTGGGCTGCAAGGTGTACAACAAAGAGTCCTGCTCCCGCCGCTGGCTGGAGCGCCACGTGCTCTCGCACGGCGGCTCAAAGCAATTCAAGTGCATCGTCGAGGGCTGCGGCCTGCGCTTTGGCTCACAGGTAAGTGACGACCCAAACTGAAACAGAGGAGCGCCCGAGAGCATGCGATTGCTAACTTGTGTCTCCTTTCGCCCCCAGCTCGCCCTGCAGAAGCACGTGAACAACCACTTCAACGCCTCGGACAACGCCAAGGAGAGCGCCAGCAAGCGCACCTCCGACCCGCCCGTGCCCAAGCAGCTGCGCAAGAACGGCAAGAAGCTGCGATACCGCCGACAGCCCTTCTCAGGTAAGGCAGAGAACCGAGGAGGCATTGAATTAAGTCTCTATATATCGGGGAGTCTGTTAGGCTATAATGGACCCTTTGGGGTCCGTTATGCATATGAGCTGAGTCGGCTTAGCACTGCCCATCTGTCCATGCGTCCAAAAGCCTTTAAGAGCTAGACAATCGATAACTATCCGCTGTTCAAATGTTATCGAGAGAGGTACAGTTTCCAATACAATCGAATATGTAGATTACGTGCTGAGCATCTCATTAAACTCAATTTGGTAAAAGACAAGGTACTATTAATCAAAACCTTGTGATGCCCAGCTGCTACTTCAGTCTCGAATTGGCTGGTGAGCCTTCAAGCACCCACGAGTGACGGCTTTGGTAGGAAAGGGAAGATGTGGTAGGAATGAAAGAGGAAGCAGATGACGTCGTTTGATTGCTATTCTTTGACTGCTACATTATTAGTAGAGTTATGAAGTGACGGTGTCAGCCGAGCTGATCCCTTTTGGGGAATACATATGTAGTTGTTGGTTCGAGCTCGAGTTAGAGTGGCGGTGTTGGTACCATCGGAAAATCAACACAGAGCTCGAATGCAGACGGCGTCGGCCTTTTATCTTTTAGTTTACTGTGACAAATGTGAAGAGACGGTCTCAGTAGAGTCAGAGTGCATTGTTGTTGGTTCAACTTATTTATTCTTGTATGGGCTTAAGCTAGGTTAAAGCTATGGAGTTCGTTTAACGCAAATCGAGGGCGGTCCAGGCATCTCCTAGTCGGGCACCCCCACTAGAGCTGTGAACTTGTTTGACTTATAAGATGTGTAATGTTTGCACTCTCTATCTCATCGTACAGCTCGCATGTTTGACTTCTTCGACACGGGCATCATGGAGGGACTGCAGCATCGCCTGCGCCAGATCAGCACGCTGACGAATGGAACCCAGGCCATCACGTTCCAGGGCCAGTGCCTGATGAGGCGTCGGAATCGGCAAGGCTTCAGCGAGTGCTTCGTGCGCTGGTCCCCACGCGAAATGTAAGTGAAACAGAATCAGATAAAAGTGGGAATACTAATCGAATCATATGCATATTGGTGCAGCATCTCGGATGAGTGGATGCCCGAATGCCCGAACGGAACGCGGCAGCACTCGAAGGTGCTGCAGATTAAGCACATGCGCCCGGCGGAGAAGACGCGCATCGACAGCCTGCTGAGCACCGCCTACAGACTGCGCTACGACGCGCAGCTCTTTGCCGATGATTACAGCATGAGCGAGGTGCGGCAGCAGCAGCAGCGGATGGAGGAGGAGCAGCAGGAGGAAGCAAGCGGCAGCGACTGTGCGGACAGCGAGGAGGACGATGGCGACGGAGAGGACGCAGAAGATGACGAGGACGATGAGGATGAGGATGAGGAAGATGAAGACGACGACGACGAGGACGACGGTGTCTCGGCCACAATCAGCTCCAGCAGCGGCACCGTCTCCAGCTACCAGCACGTGCTCAGCATAGCCAAGCTGCAATTGCAGCAGCGCAGCAAGCATCCGCGCAAGCCGCCCAAGGCAGCGCCGAAAATAGTGCCGACAGATGCGCTGGTGCCCATCTAGAGAGTATTCTCTAAGTAATTAAGCCACGCTCCCCCTTCACAACGACAACAACAACAACAACAGCAAATATGCCCCCAAAGGACAAACGAGTAAACAGTGACAAGTAGATTTTAGTTCCATTCTTATCTAAGGCCACCCACACAGCAACAAAGCCCAAAACCTTCATACACACACACACATGCATACTATAGATAAGTCTTGTAACATACATACATACATATAGTTATATACGAAAGAAAGAGAGAGAGAGAGCAGATCTCGCTTTCAGTTCTAAGATAGTGCAGATCCACATCAAATGTATATAAAAATCGCTTCAATATCATAAAAATACTAAAGAAAAAAACAAAAAAAAAAAAACGCGTGAACAAATTATATATATTCTTTTTATTATTTTATTTTTATTTTGCTAAAGACARGCATATATATAATTATATATTAGGTGTAAACTTAAATAGTGTTTAATTTTTAATTTGTAACTACTTTATGTAAATCGTGAACTGCCTGAACGAAGGAGCAAAGTGGAAGAAGAAGAGTTTAACACCGCCGCAGACAAGACTTGTTTCTCCCAATATCATCTTCATTATAATTTTATGTATTCTAAGTGTAGACGTGTTTAGATTTCGTTTCGTTCTATTTTGTATTCGTTAATTTGATCGTTTCGTAGTATTCGAAAGTACTTCCAAAACAAAAGAGGATACGCACAAACAACAAACAAGAATAAGACTTGAAGCATTTATCGCTAGAAAAACAAAACAAAAATTATTCTAAAACTAAGTAATTAATTAATTACAAATTACTCAATTCGAACAGCAATGCAAAAGCAGATTTTAGGTTTTTTTTTAGCAAACAGCCAGAGTAAAGAAGAAAAGCAAACAACAAAAATATCTTAAACAAATTAATGTAGTAAAAATTTTTGATTAGGAAACTCGTATGTAAATATTTAAAAAAAATAATTAATTACACTTAAACAAACTTAATTTAGAAAAGAAAAGAAAAAACAACAAACAATAAAAACATTTATTGTGTTCACTTTTTTGTTTGATTTGCAATTTTTATTTATTTGTTTATTTATTTTTATCATTTATCCAATTTATCTACAGTCACATGTCTAGGGTCAAGGTCAAAGGTCAGAGGTCAGGTTCGAGCAGAGTTCGCCTTAACAATAAATCACTTAAAATATGTAAGGTTAAGACGAGGAATACCCTATAAAGTACTCAACACTGCCAAAGCGAAATGAATACAACAACAACAACAACAAAAGAACAGTTTAAGATCGACTGATAAATCTATATATCCATTAAAAGTAAATTTATAGATCATTTATATAAATATACCGAGAGGATTTTCGATAATGATTTCGCACAAAGCTTTTTCGTATGTTGCAATAACAATAATAAAGCATAAACTCCCAATAAAGTATATTTAATATATATATATAAGTATATGAACAATATATCGGTGTGCGTACTGTAGCCTATACTCAAGACTTAGTAATGCTTGGTTAGCTAGAATCCCTGCCCCTAAATAGAGTACTTAAGCCTACGAATTAAGAATTGTATACAAGAACTATAAGAAAACACACATACACATAGATATGTACTATATCGTATATACAATATATATATCTATCGATATAGATATATCGTGTAGTTAACGCATTACACCTATGGCATTAGAATACTTTCTAATCTCTAGCTGTTTTTTATCAGTTTTAAATGAGAATGAGGCAAGAGTTGCATTTTGTAAATGATATAGGCCATATAACTATGTATATATATTTCTATATATATATATGTGGATTTATATACAATTGAAAGCAATAACTTTTAACAATCGCCTATGTAGGTTCGGAGTTCAAACAGATATTTTTGGGATTGCCTAACATAAGATTCTTCGATATTTTGTACCGCAACAACAAAGAAATAACAAAAACAAAACAAATATGAGAGAAAATTCAAAATGAAAAGAGCATATATAGGTATATATATATATGTATAGAATCAGATATATATATAAAACTACCTCAGATTTTTGCAAAAAAGAAAAAAGAAAAAATACAAAGTAAATAGGAATTTTTCGAGACAAGTTTTCTAAAGAACCTTAATGATAGACACTATACTTAATATATAGTTAGCTGTCGTCGAATTCAGCCGAACAAGGGAAAGTATACAAAGCAACAACAAACAACACAAAACAGAAAAACATAAACAAAGAAAAGAACGTTTAAACAAATAAATGAGAGTAAACTTAAATATCTAGGTTAAAGAATGGAATATTTTGCTAATATTACGTAAGCGCCATTGCTTAGCATATCTAAGCTGCCCTTCTACAATTCCCTCGATTTCCTCAACTATTTCTCGACTGCCCATGTATCGTTTCTTCGGAACTGCGGTTCCAGATCTTCCAGAATCTGTCAAAATCCAAATAGCCTTCGCCTTCTTAACGCCAATTCGTTTTGTACATAGTTTACGAAAATATACAAGGAATACAACTATATTAAATATTGAATTACAATTAATGCAAACCGCTTTAATAAATTTAAAATCAAGCATTACTTAAACTCAATACGAATCCATTAAGAATTAGCAAAGCAATTGGAAAATTTCTGCATCGTATTTTCCGAACTTATGAATAATTTTAGAGCTCGCCAAGCAGATAAAAAGAAAAATAAAAACAGAGAAACACGTATTTTGGTTCCACATTCGGTTCCATTTAATGTAATCAAAAGAACATTTTATACATCAAGATTATATAGACATATACATTAAAAAAA